AGCTTCCTTGAAAAAGCTAAAAAGTACTTTTCACCGAGGGGCAAAAGTACTTTAGGTATTGTGGAATCCACCAATCTTCAGGTTGAGCTTGCTTGAAATACAATATCTAACTGCTCAGCTGTCCAATTGTATCTGAAGAAGTTTCCCTCATTCTATTATACAATGTACAAATTGGGATGTCGCTTTAAACCTGAACCGATATAATTAGTATGACATCAGCTGTGCAAGCCATGCCCATACAGTGGCGACCAAACAGGGTGCAGCGAATCGATTCACGGATTCCGTTAAACAAAACGAAAAAGTGGTAAAAGTAGTACCTGAAATCATCATTATAGATAGAAAGGTTTTAAATTGTTCATTCTACAAGGTCATTTTTTCATTTGTGAATATTTTTAAGTTATGTGGTCAAGTTGGAGGGAAGAAAAGGAGAGTGATTGCCAAGTGAAGTGCTGTGACACAGGCGGCCCAGTCATTCGTCAGATAAGAAATTGTACGATCCGCAAAGCGCGTTGTGAAGCTCTTAACAAGTGTACAGATTACGGAGTTACTGAGCGGGACATCTCTTGTTACACTGCCTGTGAGTGCATGCACAATGCAGGTTGGTTGACACAATTATTTAACTCATTCTCAAAGCCTTCGCTCTTACTGGTTAGCGACAGGACACCCCTGCAAGGAGATTTCAATAGTTCGAAACTCCTACTACTAAGATCGCAAGAAACACGAAGATAAACACCGTTAATGATCATATGTCTCTCTACAGGATTCAGCCAGGTGTCCTTGTTCTTCCCAACTAGCATTTTCTGTCAAGTTTAAGTCGTAACGATATACCAAGTTTGAACTACTTTGAAATCTCTTTTAGTAAGAATTTGTTCGACCCGATTTTCACTGACCCAAAAGCAATAACAACAATAGCAATGAAAGCAAGAACGCGCTCTGCGGAAGATTGTTTTGATCTATTTTAAAAGATCCAAAGACAAGAGAAAAAAACTAGCGATAAAGACCAACATTTTATTGTTCTTTAGGACGCTATTATCAAGGTAACTACAATATGAAGAGATTATATTCTGTGAATCTAAAAAGTAACGCCCGCTGACTAATTTGAATCTTAAAGCCAAATTATAAGTTAATAATTTTTTGAAAATCGAATGTGACTGCACGTGAATCTAATCAAAACTGCCATAGTCCTGGGCCCGGTTGTTCAAAGCACAATTAAGCTAACCCAGGATAAGCGAGAATTTATATTTGAGTTTGTGAGGTTTTCTGTTTATATTGTTGGTCTTTCAGTCTTGAGTTTGAATAATCTCAAACTACCCAAAGCATAAGTAGTTAAAAACGTTTTTATGCAAGAAAAATGACTACTTCGGTTAACTTTTTAACCTGGAGTAGCGTTGAACGGCTTTCGAACAACCCGGCCCTGATGTACGGGAGGGTCCTCTACACACTGGTATAGATACTCTTGCGTACTCATGTAATTCGTAGCACAGGCTAGCGGTCACATTGAAACCTATTGTATTTATTTTAGGGACTACTGAGGATGTTGCAGTGGTTTTTATGATCATTACAAATATTCTTGCGCTGGGTATGTAAGTATCACATGCACATCGTTTTCTCTCTGTCATCTATTGATGTTGTGATGTTAGAGGAGAATAGTGGCTAGGTGATTTGAGTGCAGGAATAGTCTTTTTGCAGATTCTGTCAACTAATGTTAGCAAAGATACTAAAAAAAAAAGCAAAAAGAACATGATTGCTAGGGAAGAAAACCGGCATGAGGAGATTTCAAAAGTTGGGCACGTTGTCAATTTTGAGGGAGTTAATTGAATGGCGAAAAGGTTGCTGGATGGCTGCTTCTCAGTTTATGGCGCTGATTAACCGCCGATACTACAAGGTTTCCTTGTTAATTTAGGCTCTAGATTTGACGTTTGTTCCATTTTCTGTTATAGACTGATGACTGGACCCTGAGGACCAAGAGAAGCCAAAACTTCAACTTGTGTTTGTTGTTAAAATGCTGACGGTTTTTGCATTATTTATTTAGCTCAGTTTTATGAAACTGTAATTTTAGAAGAGTTTAGCTTTCATCTGAACTAGCCGACTGATTATTGCTATTAATCTAAAGCATATCTTAGACTAATCGCGGCCAGAGCCTTGATTCCTCGGTGTAAATGCTTGATAAAGCCATAGGGTCTTAGTAGTGACCAGGGTGAGTCTGCTACAGATTTAAAAAGTACAACTATTGACCATGCAGCTCCTAAATTGTTACAGTAAACTTCATAGCAAACAAGGAGTATTCTCGCGCTCTCTCATCGAGATCCATCGACACCTGAGCTGATTTATTAAAACCGCTGAAATTCCAGCGGCACATAGAGAATCTGGAACGCATGCAATTTGCTAGCAACTAGAAAGATTGTCTTGAAAATGCTTATCTGTAGGTTGATTCGCGACAATGATGGCCCCAGATGAATTTTGACACTTGAAATTTAAGGAGAGTTGGCCACTACAAGAGTGTTTACACAGACAGAAGATATAAACTTCTTCGCATTCGTATTTCGTTTAACCGAGCCCTGACGATGGTCGATAAGAAAAAATGTCGTTTTATACTCATCTATCGTCGATTTTCTTTCTTTTTTAATCTCAGGATCTCAAGAGATGTGCGTGCGCGGCATCCGGGTCTTTCCCTTTCCTCCCAGGGTAACCTGTCCTTCTTTAGTCGCAGCTGACTCCATATAGAAATCAAGAGGAAATGTAGAGTTGAACCTGCACATCTCACGGTGACATAATCCAAGCTGTAATTTGATTTAGGTTAAATAAATAAATAACTTGTCAAGGTGATTTTTACCGTTTGATAAAAGCCTTCTTTTCTTCCTTTGTGTGTGATTTGTATGAATTTTTAAATCACCATATATCCTTTCGTCGACTTGACTGAATAAAGGTATGATCCTGGGTAGGATATAAGATATTAAAAAAATCGATGGAAGAATTTCAAGTGTTGCGTTACTGTTTTGAAAGATAATGCGTCTGATTTTTCAAGAGCTACTAGTTGAAACACAAAAATCGTTGTAAATCTTTGAGGACTGTTCTCAATTGCAAGAAGGAACACTTTAAATAACGGAAAAGCAGCCACTTTTTTAACTTTATGTAATCTCGTACGTAAAGATTGTTTCCATCCTTCGACCAATTTCTCCTTATTTTTCTTATTTAGGGTGAAATTTTCGATAAAAAGAAAGAACACGCATGACTGGTTCCGAACTTTAATTACATCTTCAAATCTGAATAGCCATTAGTCAAAGTCACACTTGGAACATCCACTTATTAACTCATTAGCCGCCGTTAAAATTGTTGGAAAACTTCTGCTTGGCAGCTAGACTTTTGGGTACGTGACAATTATTTGAAAAAAAACATTTTCTCTCTCCAATGAACAGAACCGCGCGAAAAGAACATAAAAATCCGCTATGACTTGGAAAAGTTGGGCCAATTTACTCGATGGAAAATTTGGTTTGAATTTCTGGAAATTTCCAGTGGCAAATGGTGCAGCATTTTCCAAAATTCCGGAAAAGATGACAACCTGGCGATGTATATCGAAATCTTCGGAAATTTCACTCTAAGAGTTTTCGTTTCATTTGATTTACTTCCCGGAATTTCGGGAATTTTTGTTTGAATCGTTTGCATTCCGGAAATTCCACAATTTTCGATTTTCCGGAACTTAACCAGGAAATTTCCGTTCCATTTGCACTATTTCTAAATTTGTGGACTTTTTTTGTATTGATATTTCACTCCAAGGATGGTTCCTCCATTTACTTTGTGTGTGAAAGCCTTATACATCCTTCATACATTAGGTGTGTCGAAGCAGCACGATGCTATGATTTACAAGGACTATCAATGTCGTTCCCTGAGCCCTTGTCTTAATCTGCATGTTTGTGCAATGGTATGATTCCACCGAAAAAAAAGATTGAAAATTCTTCAAACTTAGTTGACTAATTACGTACGTTATGAATTTACAAAAAAAATCTAGTTTTACTATACGCAGTATTAGAGCGAAGACGAGTACGATTCCATAATTAGTAGAATGTGAATAGACCCTATTCATAAATGGCTGCCAATTGAAAATTTGTGTTGTAAGTATTATATTAGCATAACTAACCTCGTTTTGGAGTTGATAATTCAAAAGAATTTTTACTTTCAAACGAGGTTAGTTGGGCTAATTTAAATACATATAAAATAATTTTAAATTGCCAGCCATTTATGAATAGGGTCTACTATAAAGGTGACAGTAATTTTCTTTTGTTTTTTATTATTTCTCGGGAACAATCGATGACACCATAGTTAACAGAGGGGACTGGTTATAAAACCTGGCAAACATCAAAGGAGCAAACAAAGATGCCAAGATATATGTTGGAAGGTCCACGACCAAGCACAATCTTTTATTTTGCGCTCATACACTATCCATGAATTACGGTTTCTGTCACATTTTAAACAAGTCATTCCAATTTTCAGCTCTTCTCAATTTCATTCATTTCTGTAAACTACATTTTGCTTCCTTTTTTAACGCTTTATTAGAATTGTTATTGTAGTTTTATGCTGTAAATAGTTATCACGTTAAGTTTAAGTGAAGAATTTGAATGAGCTTAATAAAGAATTATTATTATTATTATTATTATTATTATTATAGAAAAAATAATGATAACAAGAACTTTATTGAAATCTCCTCAGAAAACCTATTTACAAATCTTCACACATTCCACTATAATAATAAAAATAATGATAACAATAATAATAACTTTTTTAACATTTTAGCGTTATTATGTATTTATTTAAACTTTCAATTTGATCTTTACGCGGATGTCTGTTAAACCTGTAAAACATGTTTCCGTATCTAATCATGATATCATGGTTACTACAACTAATACTAATACTACTATCATCAT